AACATTACCCCTAGCCTACGGAGGCCGCTTAGAATACAACATTACTGTACATAAAAAATCACAGCATATAATAAAGAATAAACAAGCATCATCTTATTTAATCAGTGCAGTGGCTGAGAATAAAATACAAACATATGAAACACGGTAACTGGGATAAATTAAAAGGAATAAAATTCGACAGTTAATTTCTTACAATAGGTAAAAGTTCGCATCACACCTTTCACCTTGTGACGGCACACCAGTTGCGGAACACTGGACTAAGTCCCTTGTGCTGCTGCCACTTCTGGCCTATTGTACCATACTATTACAGTTACTTTGCATCACTATTTTGCGAGTCTTTGTCAATCAACATAATTTATTCGATTTTGCTGGAAATCCTCCCTCCCACAAGATGGAACCTCAAAAACGTGCCCTATATTCCAAACTTCTTGGTGCAGAAGAACTGGAGGAAATATTGATGGAAGAGGAATCTGATGAAGAGTTAGAAGATATCAGTGAGTTCATTGAACCTTGAGCAAATATGTCGTCGTCATCATCATCATCATACAACGAGGCAGAGTAAATGGAAATTAGGTTCCGTGATAGAAGACCCAGGGATTTGCCAAAGGTACTAGACTTCACTGGTCCTCCAAGTGGAATCAACAGATCAGCTGCTCCCACTATAAATGCACAGTCCTCTCCTTTTTCCATTTTCATACTGTTTTTCCAACAAATATTCAAATCTTGTTACAAGAAACCAATAGATATTTCCACCAATTTATGGCATGCCAAGATGCTCCAGGCCTTTCTGTTCAACTGCCTGACGTTACAATTGAAGAGATATATAACTTTTTGGCAATAATTATTCAAATGGGCCACGATCAATGGGACACCCTCAAAGATTATTGGTCAAGAGATGAGCAATACTACACTCCATTCTACCGTAACACCATGGTACGAGACCGTTTCTTCCATATTTTGAGATTCCTACATTTTGAAAATAATGAAGCTCCTCCCAATCGAGATGACCCAGAGTATGATAGGCTCTGGAAAATTAGAAAAATTTTTGACAATCTCAACAACAAATTTTGTGAACTTTACAATTCAGCAGAACGTCTTGCTGTTGATGAAGTCATAGTGTTGTACAAAGGAAGAGTGATTTTTTGTCAGTATATTCCAAAGAAACGCAAAAGGTTTGGTATAAACATTTACAAGCTTTGCGATTCTTTTGGGTATACTTATGGCATGACAGTTTATCTGGGCAAACAAAGGCAACTTGCGACAGAAGAAATTACATTGACACATGGCATTGTTCTTCAGCTAATTCGAAGAGTAGAAGGCTTGGGACACAAAATTTACATGGACAGTTATTTCAGTTCTCCTGCTTTATTTGACGATCTTTTAGACAGGAAAATAAATTCATGTGGCACCGTTCGCAATGATAGGCGTGGAATGCCACAAGAAATTCGGCCCAAGTCAATGAAATTGAAAAAAGGGGTTGTTGTTACAAGAGTCAAGGGGCAGCTAAGTGTTGTTCGTTGGAAAGACAAGCGTGACGTATATGTTCTGACGAATGTGCACCCTCCTCCATTGGAAGGCAGCTTCCGAGAAGAATCCAGCCGTGCTGTCAAACCCCATGTAATTGAAGACTACAATGCACACATGGGCTTTGTTGATAAATCTGACAGGATGGTAAACAGTTATGGCATTGCTAGGAGGACATGGAAGTGGACAAAAAATTGTTTTTCGACCTTCTAGATATGATTATTCTAAATGCATATCTATTACACAAGTCATGTGGTGGAAAAATGACACACAAAAAGTTCCGTGAAATATTGGTGTGGGATTTAATTCTTCAGTCACATGAGGCGAATATCACAGTCAGTGGCATTTCTTGGGGGAGGCCGGGTTCATCTGGGTCCCAACTGAGTCGACTGGAGGTGAAACATTCACAACACTGGCCAACCAAAGGCAAACAAAGACATCATATTTGTTCTCAAAATAAGAAGCGCAGAAGCACGCTCTACTACTGTAAAAAGTGTGATGTTGCGCTATATGTGGCCGACTGCTTTGAGAAGTGGCACACACACGTCAGAGTGTGAGTTATCGTAAACTGTGAAGTAACGCAGTTCAAACTCGCATACAGTCTGAACAAAATATTATTGTATATAGTGTGATTATATTTACAATATCACCATGATTCAAGGTTGAAGAAAAATCAATGAGTAAGTCCTTTGGAATTTCATAACATATATAATAAATATTATATTTTGCATTTCATGACAAAATATTCACAGTTATTTTCGTTTGTAAAACTTGCTCTATTATGTATATGTAGAAAATTTTATTATCTTTCAGGTTCTTTTTATTTCATATTTCTATGTTGCATAGAAAGGAAAATATGCATTTTTTCCTGATAGTTTGCAATGATAATTAATTAGGGTGATTGATATTCCGGCCATACAGGGCTGCTGGCAATTTAAAAGTCCATACGTTAAAGTTGATTGTGTGTTTAGTTAATAAGTGCTATTCCATGAACACGCATGGGGAGTGGATGTACAGAACCATGTATTCCTGACCTCAGCATTAGTTGGATGTGAGTGGTCAGCTTCATGTCCCAGCTGCTTTATTCGTGGGGAAAGAGCCCTCAGTGCCAATTCGATAGGAGGTGGGGTGGGTCCGAGTACTGGTCTGGGCATGGAGAGGAGAAAAAGCTTACCTTTGATAGGACTTGAACTCCAAACCTTTGGCCAGTCATTGTACAGGCTGTACCATCTGAGCTCTTGTCAATTGGTGGGGGTAGAAGATTTTAGTTAGACGAAAAAGGGCTATTTAGTGAGATTTGTTTCTTTTGTGTGTGTGTGTTCAGCTGCTACTCCTGGTGGAATAGGTGTGGATTACACGGAATGGGTTATGATGTTTGTCCGTTGAATAGTTGAGTTGGTCAAGTTCCAGGGGTCAGCCATAAATGTACTCCTTCGTTTGCTTTACTTTTTTTAAAGAGCACGTGAAATGTGAGTTTCCAGTTCCCAGAGACATTTCCACATTGCTTTCCATCTTGCATTCCTTGGAATTGTGATAATTTTACAGCAGATTACAAGCATAATTATCTCTGTTTTACATTTACAGTTAGCGAATACAGAAACAGAACTGCAGAATTCACAGGAAACTGTAGAAGAAGACTATGTTGGTGAAACACAGATTGTTGCTGCTTCTGATACAACATTCCCCCAAGGTAACTTGTAGAGCAGTGGGCATCAAATTGTGTTACTTTAAAGAGAATGGTGGTTAGTTTGATATCTTTGATATAATGCATTAAGGACCTATTATTATAAATGACATGACAGAAGGTGGGATTTTTGTAGTATATCAAGGACAATTTGGAAAACTGGTTTGTGTAAGCATATAAAAACACTATTAATTTCACTGGAATCCTCAGTGTAATGAGAATTTAAATAATTTGTAAATATGGAGATATGAAAATAATGAAGAATAGAAGTCATTAATATTGTCTGAACCAAACAGTTAAGGTTTTCTTCTATGGAACTTACTGCTTAAAGGAAGCCATCATTTACATCCCTGTCTGTTTTGCTGTATGCATGCAACACATAACATTGAGGTAGACTTCTTTAAATACTTATGCACATTATGTTGCGTGCTGGTTCTAAGTGTGTGATCCACCTGATACTTTTGGCAAAGTAATATGTATTAGATATTGTTCATAACCTTTCAGAACCTTAGAAGTTCTTCTGCCGTAAAATTGTTGGCTTGATTATTGTTCCATGAATTGGTAAGGCAGCCATTTTTTTCTGGCAAAACCACTTAAATGTGGATGTCAAATCTTCATTCCCTGTCTTCTTTTTCATTTGTCTTCCAGCACAAATAATTGCTTGTGCTATATTGAAGAAATCAGTAATTAAAGCTGCATATCGAAGTCGAAGAATTTTGATTTCATTGACATAATTATGGGTGAACACTTTTTTAACTAAAAAGAACGTGAGGTACAGAAACATTTCAGTTCCCACACACTAACCACACAACTTAATACAAGAAGAAATTTGCTACAGCACTAAAGAAAAAGATTCAGATGACATCTTATGATGGTGTTATATTTTAGCATCCTGTTGCACTGATTTTCATCCATTATATGTATACAGTGGCTGTCCTGTAGGGCACACAATTTCACCTGTCACTTCACAACATGTTTCGGCAACACAGTGCCATCATCAGGTGTCCCAACTACGTCAATCTATTCCATTGCCTGCCCTCACATGTCTTCACAAACCATTCAAAAAGTATTTAAAATGTCCGCATTCGTCAACCATGATAAACCTACACTCGCTAAAACTTGTTAAGATAATTCATCCTACCTGTCCTAATTAAAACTTGTATGTGGTTCGTTCACTACGGGGTCGCTTTTCTTATTTTCTGTGTAAACCGTGTCTTGTGATGTGTGTTCCCTTAGCTACAAGTGTTGTAATTGTTGTTGAGATTACAACACTCGCAGCTAAGAAGGGAACACACATCACAAGACTTGGTTTACACAGAAAATAAGGAAAGCGACCCCGTAGTGAACGAACCACATACAAGTTTTAATTAGGACAGGTAGTGTGAAGACATGTGAGGGCAGGCAATGCAATAGATTAACGTAGTTGGGACACCTGATGATGGCACTGTGTTGCCGAAACATGTTGTGAAGTGACAGGTGAAATTGTGTGCACTACAGGACGGCCACTGTATACATATAATGCATCTTATGATGGATTTCACACTAACAATTTGGAGGTGCCTTGACTCTGAAGTTTCTAAAGTTGTGCTAAATCAGTCATAAAACATGTCCCCTACCATGAATGTGTAACATTTCAAGTAGTTTGCTGGTGTTTTTGATTGCACAATAGAATGGCTCTGTGCATGTGCTCCAAGTACATCTGACTCTAGGTGAAGTAAATGTCAGTTCAGACACAGTTCTCATAATTTCTGTAATGTTAAACCAGGGAAGGGACAGAGGACAGGTTATAGTGACTGTACAGGCTGATGGCCACAAAGGCCTCCAGAATGAAAGCTGCAGGTACAGCCAACGGAGAAAGTTTCATAAAAATGTTGTGGCAAGTGAATTTCTCATTATGACAAAGTGCTGAAAAGGAGTCCACCTTTTTTTATGAGCTTACCCCGTATGTATATAATGTTAAGAAATTCCCAGTGCTAATTGTAGGTCTTGCTGTCATGAAGTTACCGTTATACTTGGTACTCTGTAATGGCTAGAATGCGTAATATTGATCTAAATTGAATAGCATGTGGAACTGTTGTGTATGAAGGGTTATGTAATATTTACTGTATTGATGAATGTTTCTGATGTCATTTGTAGTCTTTAATAAGACCATATTCGTATTTAATAGGTTGTGTAAAATTATGACCACCGTGCCATATATATCTATGTGATGTGATGTGTGCACTTTGCTAACCTTGTTAAATACAAAGTGCATGTAAGGTTTGAGGTTATTCTTGTAGTAACTGCGAAGATTTCTGTCTTCTGGAAAGTGAGTGTATAACCTGCTAGAAGTTCACTGACATTTTGGGATGGAAGATGGGTCTTCTGCTAGAGTACATTGCATCACATTTCAGAAGACAGTACTCTGCATGAGTGTCATGCTTAAAGGATGGATTAACTTTGAGATTTATTTAAGCAGGAAAATGTATCTTCATCCATAGCACGTGGCCTTTCTTGAGAAGCTGATACTCATCTGTTCATGGAGTCTTCTGCTCTTACGGAACGTGAAGGCTAGTTACCATTACAAAGACAAAAATAACACCGTCCAGTGTGACTAAGTTTTATCACTTGAAAACTCATCACCCTTACATGTTTCGATCCGTACGGATCATCCTCACAGGGCATCAATACTTTGTCCAGAAACTACTATTACAGTAGGTGTTAAATTGTATACATACACATGTAATGTCTGAAATACGCAATATACACAATGTTCAACTTTTCACAGTCACAGCAGCCTTCCTGGTATTAAAATTGTTTAAAGTTTCTTAGAAACTTTGTTGTTTAAGATTAAAATTTTTATAAACCATGCAGGTTCGTGTCAATTCTCCCATGTCTCCTAAATAGTCTCACTGGATGCTGTTATTTTTGTCTTTGTAATTGTTAGTGTGACGGACCAGAATGAAACAAATCAAATTGCTAGTTACCATATTTATGAATTCAGGATGTACTTTGGCACTCTCATGAAGTTCCATTTCACATCTTCCCATTTATGCATACAAGGTGTGGCAATAAAGAAACCGGATTACTTTTATGACTCATTTCCGGCCACGTCATTGACGAAGAGGAGGGTAGGGCATTGACCCTTGGACTTCCCTCTACCGTCACACAAAGTTTCATTCACGTGCATCGGTTAGTCTGGCCGCGACCATTGTTAGAAGCGGATCGTGTTTCTGAGCTCCGTCGGAATAATGCTGAGTGCTAATGCAGAACAACGTGCTAACATCA